CAAGGATGCCTGGACAGACAGATGATCAGATGGATTTCGATTCTGAAAAGCCAAGTTATGAACATTTCTGCAGCAGGGGCTGCCACTGCCCCACCTGTGGCCCTTCAGGAACTCACCATCCTGTGAGTTTCTCAACACCTGTGACCCTGCCTCCCCAGCCACAGGAACTTGCTGGGCCAGAAGGGCCTGGAACAGCCTTCGGCCAGACCAATGGGAGTAGTGGAACAAGCAACCCAGCCCCTCACCCCCTCGCTCCTCGGAGGGACAACTGAGGCATGCTCTACACTCTCCCAGAGGTCCTCAGTGGGACCAAAACCCAACTGCCCACAGCGCCTACCTGCTTTTTGACATGCCTTCTGTTGGCTTCTTTCCCTTCCTCTCTCACTTCCCGACTTGTCTACCTATACTTCTGGAAGTCACCTCCCAGGTAAACTGTTTTCACTCAAATCCTTGACTTGGGGGTCTACTTCTGAGAGACCCAACGTAACAACCATTTCTGCCGCTTGCCTATTCTAGGACTTTGGACAAGTCATTTGATTTTCTGTGCCTCAGTTTCTTCATCTGTAAATGGGGATGATTACATCACATTCACAGCAGACCCATGTGGTTGGCACTGGGCAGGGTGTGCCATGTGACCCACGTGCTGGGCACTGAGGGCCCAGAAGGAAGAGCAGCATAATCCCTCCCTGGGGGGACTCATCAAAGACCGTGGAGATGGGGGGTCCGAGTCCAGGCCATGGGGTTGGAAGACCCAGAATTGAACCCCGATGCTACACAGCTTCACTGAGCACTCCTGGGCAAGCTACATAACCTCTCTATGCCTCGGTTTACCTTTCTGTTAGGTGGCAATAACAGAACCCATCTCATGGGGCTCCTGTGGAAAGAAAGTAAGATCATGCAAGAGAAGTAGCCAGTGCGGGGCCTGACACACAGCACTCAACCAAGGGAAGGCCCGCCATTGTCCTTTACTACGCCATTCGTAAAGCAAAGCAAAATGTATTGCTAAGAGAGAGGGAGAGAGTTGGTGCCCTGGAGTTCAGAGAGGAAAGGAGTCAGGTGGCCCAAGAGTGAGGCTGAGATGAAGAAAGCCTCTCAGGCCTCGAGCTGGACCCCTATGAGGGTGTCGTGAGCCCCGAGGAAGACAGGGTAAGGCCCTCCACCATTTGCCCACATGTAGCTGCCCCGCCCTCCTTTCCCCGGCCCACCCCACCCTTGCTCCCACCACCTTCCTGGAGGGCCACTGGGTTCCCTGGCCTTGCACGTGCCCTTCCCCCGACCTAGAGCTGACAGAAGCTCGTGAGTACCACCCTCAGTGAGCCCGGAAGAGGCAGAGGGCGCTGGACCAGCTGCATCGTGCTTCCCTCAAGGCTTGGTTAAAACGCATTGTCCTGGGCCTTGGACCCTCAGATTCTGCTTCGGTAGGTTTGAGATGGGGCCCAGCAAGATTGGGGAATGACTTATTGGGTCCCTGGCACACTCTCTGTTACCCATGGGAAAAGCGAGGCCCAGAGAGCCATGGTGTTTAATACCCAGTCCTGGCTCACCAAGCTTCGCCTCCCCTTCTGGATAAGCCCTGCCCAATGGGGCATCAACATAGCCCCCTGGGGTCCTGCTTCAGGAGGAGGCGTATCTGGCAGCCCCCTGCCCCCGTCTAGGGGGGTACAGAGCTCTGTGAGAGGCCGCCAGGCGTGCGGCCCCAAGACGCCTCCCAGAGGCTCTGCCAGCATTTGGCAGGTGGCAAGGGCCGGGGTGCAGAGGCGGAGAGGGCCTGCCTTGAGTATTTAAATATTTGCTTTCTTACAGAATGGCATTCTTTGGAATATTAGCCAATTTGTATAGAATTAGTCAGTGCCTGCCCCTCACTCCCCACCACGGAAGATTCCAGGGAGGAGTGTACCTGCACGCGGACGCCCTGGCAAGCCCCAGCACACGGTCCCCGCCTGCCTGAAACAGGGAGAGGAGGAGGAGGGCAGCCACTAAGCAGGCGGGGACCCAGATGCCCCGCGGGCAACCCGAGCCCTACACAAACCAGGAGTTGCAGCTGCCAGAAACCTTCTCTGGAGAAGCAGGGTGAGGCCACAGGTGCCCTGGCTGAACTAGCTCAGGGCCAGCCCTGGGACTGATGTCCCCATGGACCAGCCCAGAGGCCACTGGGAAGGAACACAGGAAACGCCAAATTCTCTGCCAGATTTCCAGAAAAAGCCCTGGAGGTTATACTAGGGCTAAATTCAAATCCCAACACTGCCTTTTTTAACTTGTTGTGTGACCTTGGACAAGACACCTCTCTGGACCTCACTTTCCCTCTTATAAAATGGAAACTGCAGCCGTGTAAGCGGATGTGCTCCTGGACACCACGAAGCGGCACGCACAAACTGACGGTCAAGGCAGTATTACCTGGGTCTGGGCACACCAGCCTTGTTCCCTCGGTCTAGAATAATGTGCTTGTGTCGATTCAATCAATAAGCACTTGCTGAGCACCTATTGGGTGATTTTGAGGAAGTTATTCCTGCTTTTGGGGACTCAGTATCTCCACTTATAAAACGGGCAGGTTAGAGCCTCTGATGTTCCTTCTCTGTAGAGAAAACACCATGTTTTGTTTCTATGACAACCATTGGCACAAAATTCTCTTACTACTAAAAGAAAAGGTGAAGAACAAGGAATTATTGAGAGGACAATCTTTTTTTTTTAATATTTTATTTATTTATTTGACAGAGAGAGAGACACAGCAAGAGAGGGAACATAAGCAGGGGGAGTGAGAGAGGGAGAAGCAGGCTTCCTGCCAAGCAGGGAGCCCGATGCGGGGCTCGATCCCAGGACCCTGGGATCACGACCTGAGCCGAAGGCAGACGCTTAACGACTGAGCTACCCAGGCGCCCCGAGAGGACAATCTTAAGCAAAAGGAATGCATGTCTAAGAGCAAGATTTAGGCACGAAGAATTTCAGTGTAGTGTACGACTAACAGTGAAATCCAAGGCCCGCAAGGATTCGTATCCTGCATGCCTATCCTTTGTGCCAGAAGCCAACACCCCCGGCTGGGGTAGACTACCACTTAAAAGCTGCAGGGCCTTGGCCAGATGATCAAACCTCTACACCCCTGGTCTCCTCACCTATAAAAAGGGGGTAACACTACTGATTTCATGGGGGAGATTTTAGCGTTAAGGGAGACTACCTGATACTAAAATTGAGCAGGCTCACCACCCCGCCAGGTTTTCTCCTTCACTCTTCCTTAATTAATCACCCTTTTCATGTCCATTCATTCACTCAGCACATATGCACTGAGAACCCACAGTGCATTGGGCATTATTCTGGAAGTAGGAATTGCCAGGAGTGCAGCAGACAATTGGGCTCTCAGGGCTCTCCCATCCCAGTGGGAGGAGACAGACCAAGGAAAGGCAACAAATGAGACCAAGTCGAAGGGTGATATGACAGTGTGACTATGGGGCCTAGGGGAAGGTCTCTTGGGGGAGGTGCCATTTGAGCTGAGGCCTGAGTAACAAGCAAGAACAGCCATGTGAGGATTAGGGGAGAAACAGTCCAAGCAGAGGGAAAGCCTGTGCAAAGGCCCTGAGGCAGGAATCTACTTGGTGAGTTTTAGGAACAGAAAGGCTGCAGCTTATCAGTGGGTGATGAGCTTAAAGCAGAAGGGACCTTGAAGCCCATGGCCCCCAGGCAGGTCACCATTCTCTCCAGCATCCCTTCACCCATTTCTTTGATGGCACAACAAGGCCCAGAACCCAGTGCGCAGAGACGACGTTTCCTTCAAGGAAGCAGGCCAATCAGTATGGATTCTCTCATGGCCATTTTAATTTTTCCTGAACCTGTGAAAGCCATCAAGTCTTTTTTCTCCAAGGGTGAGGAGCACTATCTGGGGAGGGGTGATCCTGATGAGTTCCCTCCTAGGAGCAGGGAGGCTGTGGGCAGGAATGTGGGCCCCTCCCGGAGCCTTTCAGGCCAAAGTCAGATCTTGAAAAGGCTCAGCCCCACGGGTGGGTATTAGACAGGCTACAGGGAAGGCCTGGGATTATGGCAAATCCCTCAGGCACAAAGCCAAGCAGGGCTCCCCCTGCCCTCACTGGTGCCCTGGGAAGCCCCCTCAGCTGACCCCAACCCCGGCTGGGGGCTGAGCCTTTGTCCCCTCCTGTCCATCAGCACAGAAGACCATGGAGGTAAGGCCCTGGGGAGTGGGAGTTCCCACCACAGACACCCCACTCCCTTCCCCCCGCAACCCTGCATCCCGAATGCTGGCCTTTGCTGCTCTGGCTGCTGGGAGGTTGCCAGGCCTGCAGCCTCCCCCCCAGTACACACCATACAGTCAGATAGGACTCCTGATGTGCCTGGTTCACCCTGCGCCCTACACATGTCCCATTCCAAACTGGTAGCTTTTTTTTTTTTTAACTTTTTACTGTGGTCTAATATACAAAAACATGTATAGCCATGAAAGTACAGTTCGATCGGATTTCAAAAGCTGAATACCTCCATGTAAGCAGCACCCAGATGGAGAAATCTAAGCAGCCCCCAAGAAACCCAATCTTCAAACCCCCTCCAGGTCACTGCACCCACCCCTGCCCGACAGTAACCATTATCTTGACTTCTTTCACTGTAGATTAGTATTGCCTGTTTTTGTACTTTGTCTGAATGGGGTCACATAGTACGTGCTCTCTTTGGCCTGACTTCTTTCACTCGTCGTGTCTGCAAAAGTCATCCACAGTGTCGCCCATAGTGATGGTTCCCTCCTTCACATTACTGTATAGTATTCTATCATGCAAATATACCATCGTCTGCTACTGATGGGTGGTAGAGCAACTACCACCAAAATGAGTGTACGAATTAGCAGTTGCTGCATAACAAATTACCCCCCAACCGAGCAGCTGGAAGGAACAGTAAACATCTCTTATCTCAGTTTCTATGGGTCGGAAATTCAAAAGCAGTTTGGCTGAGGGATTCTGGCTGAGCGTCTCTCACTAGCTATCAGTCTAGGTGTCCGGGAGGGTTGCACTCACCTGAAGGCTCGACTGGCGCCGGGAGATCTGCTTCCAAAACGGCACACTCACGTGGCTGTTGGCGGGAGGCCTCAGTCCCCACGGGATGCCTTGAGTATCCTCACGACATGGCAGCTGGCTTCCTCCAGAACGAGTGCTGTGGAACAGGGCGAGCAGGTTGCCGCGATGCCCACACTCAGGGAGAACAGAATTAAACACCTCTTGAAAGGAGAAATACCAAAGAATGTATGAGCATATCTTAAAGCCACCATAATAGGCAACAACTCCTTTCTGCACCGAGTTCAGTCTCCTCATTCCCGGGGAAGGAAGCCAATATTCCCCCTCCCTATCCACTGCCTACCTCCCCCTGCTCAGTCAGCACCTGGGAGAGCCAGCTTCTGGTGTCGACTTGGTCAAGAGCCTCTCTGAGCCCCAGGTTCCTCCGTGAAAAACAGATGACAGCAGTGCCCACTTTGGGGCCATTCAGGAGACTGAATTCCATCCAGAGAAGTCCCCTTATCCCTGAATTCCATTCCCTTGTGGCACTTGTTTTATAATTCTTGGTGTGAAACCAAGCCAAAGGCTTTTAGAAGGTTCCAAATAAGTCAGGCAAATCTTACAGAAACCTCGTCATCTCCCCCTCCTTCTCCAGGGGCAGGAGTGCAGACTGAGATGCTCACTGACTCCACCCATTATCGTGCTTCCGGTCAACTCACCTGCTGTGGAGCTGAGACCCCCAGTATGCGAGTCCCGTGCCCCCCTCGGGACTCTGCTCATGCCCACATGCCAGCCTGACCATCCCCCACTCAGTTCGCCCCCTCCAATGCCATGCCCGGCACGACGCAGATGTTACCGATGGTTGCAAAATCGCCCTCACAGGGCTAACCTACTGACAGAGAAGACAAACGCAAACAACTCAGTTATCGCTTCATGTTGTGAGAATCCCTTCAATGACCATGACAGCTTAACCCAGGGCCCCTGGTCTTGCCAAGGAAGGGAGGGCACCTGATGCCAGGCTCTGGGGGGTGAAGCCTGGGGAGGCGAGCCTGGCGTCCAGGAAAGCCCTAGTGGCTGAATTCAGACAATGAGAGTCATCAATCATAGGGCCACCTGGGGTTGGAAGAGTGGCAGGGCCCAGACCCCAACGGTGTCAGTTCAGGGGCTTGGGCTCTATCCTGAGAGCAGCGGCAGCGACTGCAGAGTTTTGAGCCAAGGAATAACATGATCCATTGTGTGTGTTTGTTTGTTTGTTTTAAGATTTTTTTTTTATTTATTTATTTGAGAGAGAGAATGAGAGACAGAGAGCATGAGAGGGAGGAGGGTCAGAGGGAGAAGCAGACTCCCCGCTGAGCCGGGAGCCCGATGCGGGACTCGATCCCAGGACTCCAGGATCATGACCTGAGCCGAAGGCAGTCGCTTAACCAACTGAGCCACCCAGGCGCCCGTATTGTGTGTTTTTAAATATGCGAGGAACACAGTCTTCAGTGTGTTCCTGGTGGCATTCTGAATCCTGGTCATCCCTGCCCAGCCAAGGAGCCATGCACTCCAAAAGAACCTGTTTCTTGACCATTTCCTGGCTGTGTGACTTGAGGCAGGTTGCTTGCCTACTCTGTGCCTCGGTTTCCCCAGCAGGTAAGATCAACCCTCCAGGGTTTCAGGGTGACAGATGAGGGAAGGACACCGAGCACCTGCTTCGGTGCCTGGCATCATGGATGATGTCTTGGCAGCACCCCCACCCCCACTGTCTCCCCTGGCCCATCCCCAGAGGCTCCAGGGCACCTTAATGGGTTACTCTTCCCCCCACCTTGCCAGTGCCTTGGCAAGGTGGCTCCCATGCCCTTCCTGCACCCCTCACCCTATTGGTCTTCCTGGGCCACCCACCCTCTTCATCCAACTCTACGAGACTGACAGAAACAGGATACAATGTGAATTTCAACCAGTTGACTCCAAACACATCTGCCAAGCTGTGGAAGGAGGTCATTACTGTAAACAGAGTCCTCACCCTGGCCGCAGTGTGGCTACTTACCATTGCTATCGTGCTTTAGGGGCGCTGGTTGGTGCTGGGCACTGTGCAAGCACTTTCTATATATATTTATATATATGATCACCTTTATTCTCACAATAACCTGGAGACCAGGGTACTATTTAACGCCATCTTTCAGGTGAAGAAACTGAGGCTTAGGGAGACAAATCATTTGCTCAAAGTTCACATAATGAGACTCAAGTCCAGGTTCATCTGCTTTAAAGCATCAATCTCTCACGCACACGCACACGCACACGCACACACGGGTTCATCTGCGCAGCCACTGCCACCAGCACTTCCTTACGCCGCTATTTGATCAAACGCTTACTATGTGCCTGATTTCACGGAAGCCCCACCACAGCCCTGTAAGGAAGACACTGTGTCACTGCCATTTTGCAGATGGAGAAAGTAAGTCCCCAAGGGGTGGAGTCACTTGCCCAAGGTCACTGCGCAGATCGGGTGTTTGCATCAGGTCCTTCCGACTGTACTAGGAGACTGCTTGTGGAGATCGCTCCCTCAGCCGAGGCCACGCCGCCAGGAGCCTTCGCACACCTCCACAGCTATGCCACCTGGAGCTCGGCGTCCAAGAGTGGGGTCCATCAGCATCTCCCCTCCATGTCTTACGGTGGGACCCCCAAGGCTCTGGACTTGGTTGACCCAGCCTTACCCTACCTGGCCTCTGGGGCTCTCACTGCCCGTGAGGCCCCCACCCTCAGGTTCCCGGGCCCCAGGCTCTTCTTTTCTTCTTTCACTCTGAGCCAAGCAGGTTAAAAACACGCCAAAAATGAGCCCCCTCTCGCTTTAGTGCACTCACATAATGTGTGGCAGGGAAGGCTGCATTAATCGCTCGGGACCCACATTTTTCAGTGACATTAATCTCTAGCCGGAAAAGCCTCTCTGGACGGTTCTTTTCAGTCTGAAGGCACTTAACGTTGGCCAGGGGAGCACAAGGGGCCTGCCTGGAATTCCTCTCTAACTCCCAAACACCACACCCACCAACCCAGCCTGGCCAGCTTCCCTGCTTATGGTGGGGTGGGTGAGATGCCTGCAGGGGATGCGGGGGACAGAGGGAGGGCAGGGTGGCGAGTGAGCCATGGGTGTGCTCTGGTGTGTATGCACGAAGGTAAGAAGGGCTGAGTTTCAGCCATGCTTGTTCTGTGAGCAGGGCATCTGCATTCACACCCCCACATCTGCTCGCTCAGAGACGTGATCCGTATATGTGTGCGCCGGGACATGCATACCAGTGACGGAGACACCTGGGTGTAAACGTGTGTGTGTGTGTGTGTGTGATTGAAAGTATGCGCAAGAGCTCCAGTCAAGGGCAAGCACGGGTGCCCATTAAAAAATGTGTGCAAGGAAAATGCAACCATGCACATAAGTCGAGCTGTGTGTGACACTCTTCAGGTCTACGTGTGACTTCTGTGTGCACACGTTGTCGTGAGCAAGATGTGTGCAAGAGTGTGTTTGTGGAGCATGCCAGCGAACATGAGCTGGCAAGGGTCCATCTGACTCAGGGTGCGCCAGTGTCGGGGAGGTGGTGGTCAGGTCTGCGGTGGGCCAGCCAGACCGGGTGCCCCTCACGGAGGCACACAGTGCATTCTGACACGCACTGCTTAAGCACTCACCGCATGCTGCTGGTCATCGTGTCCGGCAGGAAGGAGACAGTGCTGAATACGGGTGTGGTGTCTTGGAGCCCAGGGGGACTCTTTCCTGGAGCTGCCTGCACATCTTTCCTCAACTCCACCGTCAGCAACTTTCTGCTGGTAGCTTGAAATTGACAATGGGGAAGAATTTACACCATGGAAATTGACAAACGCCAGAGCAGGCCTTTCTTGACCCGGAGAGCCCGTTGTTAAACTTCTGTAGCACACCACTAAAGAAGACGCTGTGCGTCCCCAATCTAATAGGATCCCATGTGTGCTGTTCTTGTACATGAATGAGCATGTGTGTGTGTGTGTGTCCCTATGCACCCCAAAGTAGCTCCAAAGCTGTGCGGGACCAGCATACAAAATGAGCGAATATTCAGAGAAGAGGGAGAAAGAGGAAGACCCAGGAAGCTTGAAGGACACCAGTTTGCCACGCTCCGGTGGATGGATCTCTTTCTATCCCATGGGCTATTTGTGAAATTCTCCAAAAACAATCACCAAGGAAAAAAACTTTAATCCATAAACATGAAAACTGCCACGATCCTCTCTCAACACTGAACACTGTCACACCAAACTGGCAGGGTCACTAGGCTGTAAATGATGACTCCCGGGTTCTGGTCTGGCTCCAGAACCCACGCTCATTGCCATACTGGCCACAAGTAAGTAAAGAAGGCAGAAGGACTGACCAGAGAGGTAGGAGGGAAACGGGAGCATGCTGGGCCACCCCAGCCAAAAGGAGAAGGAGTTTTGAGAAGCAAAGGACCTGCAAGAGAAGTCCTTTCCCCCCATTTTACACAGGAGGACCCAGAGACTGGGAAGTCAGTGTCACACAGCTAGTCCAGGTTCAAAACCAAGAAGGTCTCAGGCCAGAACACCCAGAAGAGGGCTGGGGCAAGAAAGAGGACTCCAGACTCTTCTTCTTAGCTTCCCAAAGCTCTAAACCACAGGCCCAAGTTCTCTGGTCTCCTCTGACCTTGGTTACCAGCCCAGCTGCCCAGTCACACTGACCATGACCCATAGCCAGGCAGGACCCAAGCTCAGGAGGCCTCTTTGGGAACATCAGCCCCAGCCAGCTCCCAGGGAGCTGAGCACCAAGGGAGCCAGGTGGCCCTGAGGAGAGGCCACTGAAACCCCCATTCCCAGGCAGCCCCACTCTCCTCGGCCGCCATTGATCTCCCTGGTGGGATGACATCAAGGGATGTTTTTAATAAGAGGGCAGGAGGCCTTGGGAGCTGACCGGGCTGAGGCAGTGCCGGGCAATTAATCACCCGGTTGAGAAGCCACAGCCATGGGTAACTGGATCCCTGGAGAGCTGTCAGGCACACCCTGCCTTTCATCTCTGCCCATGGCCACTCTGCGTGGGCTCCCCGTGCATCTTCATTAACTCTGGGCCCCAGGGAACCAGGCGGTGGTGGTGGTGGGGGGTGTCTGTCTATCTATGTGTGGACCCTCTGAGTGTGCATGAATGCACACATACATGTGTATTGATGCACAAATGCACACATGCACAGCTGTGTGTCACTGCGTGTGTGCGCATGGTTCCCTGTCAACGCGCGCGAGACAAACCAGGGCACTGGCTTTGGAATCAAACAGATCTGGCTTCAAGTTTATGGCCCACCTCTTTCTAGCTGGGTCACCCTGAGCAAGTTACTTATCTTTTATGAACCTCCATCTTGTCATCTGTAAACTGAGGATCATAAGAGTGACAATAACTACCACACATGCTTGCGGGGATCAAGTAATGCTATTCATATAGAAGCATCTGGAACTTAGTACATGTTTACTAACCATGCATTCTTATCCCTCTTACACATGGATGGGTGTACACATCCGAGTGGTAGGCAGGATTCTAAGAATGATCCCCAATAACCCTTGCATAATCTACCCCCCTTTGAGTGGAGGTAGAGCCTGGAGATACGGTGAAATATCACGCCCATGATTATGTTCCATCCTATAGCAAAAGGGAGATGACCCAAATAGCCAAATCTAATCAGATGAACCCTTTAAAAGCTGAGTTTGCTCCAGCTGCTAGGCAGAAGTCAGAGCCATTTGAGTCATAAGAGGGACTAACCCAGGAAGCAAACTTTTCTGGTGCTGAGTTGGAGGGGGACCCCCATGAGTGACTCCTAGGAGCTAAGAGTGACCCCCATCCATAGCCAGCAAGAAGATGAGGGTCTCAGTCCTACAGCTGCAAGAATTCTTGCAAAAACTGAATTTAGCCAAAAACCTGAATGAGCACAAAAATTGATTTTCTCAAGAGCCTCTAGATAGAAACCCAGCCCAGCTGACACCTTGATTTCAGCCTTATGAGTCTAGAGGAGAGAAGCCAACCGAGCCCGTGCCGACCTCTGACTGCTCCGGTCAAGATGCCACTAGTAGGATTTTGTCAGCTCTGGGAGGAGCATCCTTGGAGATTCCCCAGGGGCCCTGGTAACTCACAGTGACACACACATGTCTGCTTTGGGCTCTGGGGAACACCTGCTCTAGTTTCCAGTCCAAAGCTGTCAGGGACAGAGAGGACAAAAAGTGAGGTATAGAGCAGGCGGAGAGGCCTCAGTTTGCTCATCTAAACGATGGGAACCTCATCACAAGGATAGCTTGATTGAACAAAGAGTGAGCAAAAGCACTTTGGTGGGTTGGAAGAGCTGTCCAGCAGCAGGAGAGATGGTGGCCCATCCCTTGAGTCAGCAGTCAGGCTCAGGCCTGCTGGTCAACCTCAACCTATACCAGGGCACCTTGCCCCGGCTGGCTCCCCCTCCCCCACTCCTCTCCGCCACTCAGCTGAGAGTTCCATGTCCCCAAATCTTTTCAGTCACCTCCTCCCCACTGCCCGTCTGGTCCAGTGTCTGAGTCTTCCCTGGAGGACCACACGGCCTCCTCCCAGCATCCCTGACTCTAGCCTCAGCCCCTCAAACTCAACCACCACTCCCCTGCTCCCAGCCTGGGCAGCGCTCCTAGTGTTCTTGAGGTAAAGCCTAAACTTCCCTCTGAAGATGAAGAATCATTTTCATTTTGCCAAAACAAGAAAAAATAATGCTTTAATTTTTATTTCCCTGATTCTAGTAAGTTCAAGCAGCTTTGCATACATTTATTCCCCTATTCCCTTCCTAGCCAGCTAAGTCCTACTCATTTTTAAATTTAAGTATTGCAGTTTTAATTTTTTAATTTATTTTAATTTTTTAAAGATTTTATTCATTTACCTGAGAGAAAGAGAGTGAGCAAGAGAGAGTGCAAGCGGGGGAAATGGCAGAGAGAGGGAGAAGCAGACTCCCCACTAAACAGGGAGCCCAATGCAGGGCTCGATCCCAGGACCCTGGGATCATGACCTGAGCTGAAGGCAGACACTTAACCAACTGAGCCACCCAGGAGCCCAGTATTCCAGTTTTTTAAAAAGTTCCGCTTGCACATGGGACCAAATTCAAAAGGTATAACAAGGCAAACACAAGAGGGTCAGCTTCCCTCCAGCTGCTGTCCCCAGCTGTCCAGTTCACGGCTCCACAGAAGCTGCTCCCACTAGCTTTTGGTGTGTGTGTCCAGATTTATTCTAGACATATACCAGCAAATAAGTACACACGTTCTTTTTTATACAGCTAATCGTATATCATACCTAATTGATTTCAGCTATGTCCCTCTTGGAACATAGAGTTGCCTCCTTTCTTGTCAATGGCTGCATAAGGTTCCACTGGAGCAGAATGATATAACCCCTCTCCTCCTGGTAGGCTTGTAGGCTGCTTCCTACCTCTTGCTATCAGAAACAACAGGTCACTGAAATGTCATTCACACACATGCGTTAAGTTTATTTCTGAGAAACGCTCCTAGCAGATCGCTGGGTCAGAGGCAAAGACATTGCCAAGTTGCTTTCCGGGGGTGGGGAGGGCAGGCGGGGGGGTTGGTGACACAATTTGCATTTCTACCAGCATTTTATGAGCACTCTGGTTTCTCTGTACACTCGCTAAGCCAGTGATTTATCCAATTTCATAATTTTCCTCTGATGAGTGAAAAATGACATCACACTATAGTTTTATTATGTAGGTTTCTCATTTTGAGTAGGGTTGACCGTCTTTTCATGGTCTTCTCTAAGACCATGGCTTTCCTTCTCTGTGAATGGTCTGTTCATACACTTCACCTATTTTTTATTGAGTTGTCAGCCCTTTATTATTGATTTACAAGAGCTCTTCATAGATGAAGGAAATGAGCCCCAGAGAAATTTAAACAATGACTTAAATCACTTAAGTAGTTCCTTAAATGTTGGCCCTTGTGAAACCATCTGGGCCTAGTGATTTTTGGGGGAGTAAGTATCCCTGTTTCTTCTATGATTATTGGTCCGTTTAGATTTTTGTACCTAAATGTACTTCTAGGTACATTTTTATAGCTTATATTTTCTTTAAGAATTACGTATTTCAGGGGCGCCTGGGTGGGCTCAGTCAGTGAGCATCCAACTCTTGGTTTCGGCTCAGGTCATGATCTCAGGGTCTTGAGATCGAGCCCCATGTCAGGCTCCACACTTGGCAAGGTCTGCTTGAGATTCTCTCTCCCTCTCCCTCTGCCCCTCCCCCTGCTCTCTCTGTCAAATAAACAAAAAAATAAATAAATAAAAAGAATTATCCATTTCATCCAAGTTCTTAAGTATATTTGCTTATTCTGTTGATTTCCTCTGAAATTGGGGTTATTCCCCAATAACCATTTCTCATTTTATGAATTTATGCTTTTTCCTTTTTATCTGGATTAGATTACCTAACATCTATTTTACTTGGCTTTTGAAAACATAATCTTTATTAGTTCTAGTATTTTCCTGACTTCTACTTCATTCACATCCACTTTTATCTTTATAAATTTTTCCTTGTGATTTCTTTAGCTTTATTTTATTGCCATATTCCAAACTTCTTGGGTTGGGTACTTAATTTATAGAACTTCCAATCCTTATAATTTATTAATAAAAGTATTTAGAGCTAAGAACTTTTCTCTTACTATAATTATCTCAGCTTTCTGGACTTCTGTAATCTGTTCTCATTTCCTTTTTGATGTGAGAGATGTTTAAGAGAGAGTAGGGGAAACTTACCTCTTGTCAATTTCTTATATTAAATTGTGAACAGTGACCATTATTAGGAGTAATGATAGAATTAGTTTATTTTTATTCCTTTCTCTTCCCCTCCCTGACCCAAATTTATTGTTTTACATTTCTTAATGTTGACCTTATCTGTAATGTAATTATATCTATCACCTTATTTTTCATATTTAAATTATGTCTTCTGCCCTCTGGTTACAAAAGATGAGGAAATCTGGATATTTGTGTTACTTTGCACCTTTTTTTCCCCCTTTCCCTCCCAGTATGCGTCTGTTACATAATTTCGACACAGTCTCATTTGATTCTCCGTGTTTCACTGTTCCATAATCATGACCCTCACCTTGGTTTTAGTCTTAGACTTGGAGGCAGATGAATTCAATTCCCCATCAGTCTACAGTCCTTCTGCCATCGTGTTTCCTTGCCAAGTTCATCTTTAAGAAGGTCATCATGAACATTTATTTCCTGAGTTCTCATATATTAAAAAACCAGGATTGATTTCTGGAGAGCCCAGCTTGAGAAGGGCTGGTGGAGTCCGACAGCCTGATCATACAGATGGGGAAGCCAAGACCAGCAATAGGAGCCATGGCCCAAGTCACCAGGCCAGTGCCAGGGACCAAGCCGGGACAAGAACCTGCACAGCCTGCCGCCCTGGCAGGGGCCTTCCCCTCCAGCCTGCTCTCACCCTCTCTCCTCCTGCTTTCTTGAGTAGGGGACAGAAAGGTAGGTCGGGTCCCCTGCCTTGCTGCACACTTTTCCTCTAGTCCCCTGGAATCTCACCTGGGACTCGTGGGAAATGACAGGCAGGAGCATTCTTACCCACACCACCAGCCCCCCCCCACAAAGGATTAGCAGCCATGGCTGGGCCCCTGGTGGCACAACCTCCCAGGAGAGGGGAAAAGTGTGAGCTCATCCTTACCGCCGCCGCCACCACCAGGCAGAATGGGTGGGGCAAGGGGCTCCACCTGTTCCCGATAATCTCTCTAATCCAGCCCATAATTATTCTTTATTAACGGAGGCCGCTGCCTTCGTTACGCGCTGAAAGGAAAGGAGAGCGTCAGGAGTGAAGACACGAGGATCAAAAGCCGGTCACATTTTCCAAAAGGGTTTATTTGCCACGACCAAAATAACCTCACCAGGGGACAGCCGAGTTCCTGTCTCGCCCCATCCTGGTGCCCAGCGTGGGAGCTCCAGGCCCCCAGGCCTCCCGGGCAGGCCCAGAAGTCCCTGCCTGACTCCACGGCCCACCAGTCCTCCTTCATTCACACACCCCCTTGTACTGGGCTTTGCAGATACACAGTAAATAACCTGCAGCCCTGGCCTCCCCAGGCTCTGCAGCCACCAAGGGAAGGGACATGTGCCACTGTGATTACCAAGCAGGCTGCTAAGTGCCACACGGGGGAGGATAGGTGGCTGCGGAACCCGGGCAGGTCCTGAGGCCAGCCTCGGGAATATGGGTGGGAGAAGCCTTCCCGGAGAGAGACACGCTGGAACCCCGTTTTAAAGTGCAGCTAGAAGTTCCTCAGTGCACACGGTAAGCAAAGGCCATCCTGTGGAAGGAAAGACAAGCTAAGACAAAGTTGAACTGCAATTTGGTGTAGCCAGAGTGAAGGTTGGAGAGGGACAAAGGTCTGACTGGGGCTGCAGGGAGGCAGGGCCAGGCCACAAAGGACCTGTGCGTACTAGGGAGTCATTAAAGGTTTTAGGCAGGGAGGTGATAACGGTCAGATTGTGCTTTAGGAAGATCCTTCTAGCTGCAGAGTAGAGACTGGATTGGGGGATGCTGCAGGCTGCAGGATGTCCCTGGGGACACTTGTAAGGGCCCACATGAGAAATGTGAAGTTTGGAACCCGAGAAGTAACAACAGGGTAGAGAAAGGAGGTGGAATGAGGGCATCAGGCAATGGGGACACGATTCGTCTGACCCTAGTGGCCATGTTGTACATCGGGGCCATGGTCAGAAGGGATCAAAATGGTTCCTAGGCCTTTTGTGTCCTCAACCCTGTCACCACCACCCTACATTCAGCCTAGCACTCGATCTGCGGGGGAACCAGAGGCCTGGAGCCACACTCCCCACCCAGAGGCCCTCACAAACTGGGAAGATGAGGTATAGGGACTGGGGACCATGAAGCTCAAACTCCTGGCTCTCTGGCCCTCCAGCCCACCCGCCCTCTTCTACAGACAAGCCCCATTCACTGTTTGCTCAGTGTTCTTCCCAACCTGCCCATCCTGACCCACATCCTGTCCACGCCCAGGTCCCACTGAATAGGCCAGCGTGCAGACCCCCTGCCCAGAAACCCCGTCCCCCAGACAGCAATGGCTGCTGCCTGCCTTCCTGTCTCCCTGCCTCTCTGCCTCCTTCACCTTTCCTGCCTCCATCACGGACGGTCGTCGTCTGCATTCCCTCTGTCTTGGTGTGAGTCCCACCTGCAGCTTGGGGCCCTCTCTCTCTGGTCCTCCCTGCTGGTTTCTCTGTTCCCCTCCATCCCTCCTTTCTCACTCCACACCTAACCCCTCCCAGGACTCACACAACTCAGGACCCCATCATTCGAACCAACACTGGGCACTGAGTGTGAGCCAGGCCCCGGGCTTGGCTCTGGGCATCGCAGAGATGGACGGGAGAATGCAGCTCTGGCCCTCGCCATCCCCTGCCGCTCCCACTCCCGCAGACAAGAGGGGGCAGCGCCAGCCAGAAGCAGTGCTAGAAGGGAGACCAGAGAGGTCAGATCGGTGTGCACTGGGCTCTGTGAGGCGGCCATCCCATCCGAGCCCCAACACTTCATTCCAGCAGCCAGCAAAGGGGTTGGTGCTGGGGACCAGGGTCAGAGATGAGGGCAACCCACATTCTGCCCTCCAGGAGTTCACGGCCTGGTCAGGGACATGGAAACTGTGGCCATATGAATGCCCCCCAGGGGCTCTGCAGTACCATCTCAGGTGGGAGATTGCAGGAGCCTGGGATGACACAAGCGGTGGTCTGAAATCAGGAAGGCTGGGCCCAATCCACCCCGCTGGCCTCGGCAAGCCACCCACTTCTTCGATCCTCAGCTGCAGCATCCGGTCAATGGGTGTATCATAGTTTCCCAAGGTTAATACATGTAAAATAAACAATATACGGGCCAAAGTATACAAAAGTGGCTTAGCAAAGAGCCAGGGGTGAGTACACACTCAATAAATCACACTCATTATAGTTTTCATTGTTACCATTCCATTTGGGCTGTGGAGTTGTAGTAAAAGCCATTTCTGGTCCCAGTCGTGCCACCATCTGGCCGTGTAACCCTGAGTTCCCTCCCTCGCCCTGCCACTGTTGCTGCTGAAAGGGGAATTCAGATGAAGCTTCCTGCCGGTCCTGACCGCTGAGATCTAAAGGGAAGGCCTGCCTCCTGATTTCCTCTCTCCTGTTGCCCCATTACCTTCACTCTGGCCACTTCGGCTCCTTGCGCTTCCTCAAGCTCCCCAGCCATGCTCTGGCCTTGAAGCTTTTGCACCTGCTGCCCCCTCTGCCCAGAACCAACTCCTGCCCGCCTGCCCACCTGCATGGCTCGCTGTCCTACAAACGTGTCCACCTCCTCGGGGGGCCTTTCCTGACTGTTCTCATCACTCACTCCCTGACCGGCTCCATCTTCCTTCCATCACAATGATCCAAACCGGACGTGTATGATTTATTGACTTCCCCCCCCTTGTGAGACGGGACAGAGTCTGTCTGGTCCACAGCTGTCCCCCGTGTAGATGCCCGGCCACACTTGGAGCTCAACACACGAATAAGGACTAGGGTGCACCTGAAGTTCTGGAGAAGCAGTGCAGGTGGGGAGGGGGGGTGAGAATTCTCCAGAATCCCCTGGATGCCAGCTCCCGGCAGCCCCAACACTCCGGGACTCACCCGCTGAGCCTTCTCACAGCCTGGAAAAGCACAAAGCTCTCTCCATCCCTGCCGGGCACATGCCCCCTGCCCTTGGGGTCATGGACCTGAGACCACCACCCCTGGCCCCAGAGCCCTCAGATGTTTCCAGGTCGGGCAGGGGAGGAGGCGGTAGCAGACTCTGGGCCCCGTCCTTTGTCCCGGGCCCCAGCAGAATTTCATTCCAAGGTTCAAAGCGCCTTTGCCCCTTCCCAGATAAAAGGCCGCTCAGCCAGAGAGAAGAACTGGTTAACAGAGGACAGGAGGGGGGCCCTGGACAGCGGGCCCACCACGGCCCTCTGCCCGCACCCTCGGCAGTGAATGCTCTCAGCCCTCTGCCGCCGTTCCAGCCCGCTGCCCCACAAGAAAAGCCCATTAATTTAACTCTAATAGGATTTTCAATTTGTCACAATCCTTGGAGATCCTGGGGAGGTAGTGCCGGGGGGCGGGGGGGGGGGATGCATATCAAGTCTGTGTTAAAGGAAATTCTTGCAGGGAGACTGGGCTGGCCCCTAGACAATTCCCTACCACCCCAGGGCCTTCAGGCCAGCCACAGCCCCTCCTGGCCTCAGTTTCCTCCGTGGAAAGCAAGTTAATAAAACCTACTTCGAAAGGCAGCTCCAAGGATTAAGTGAGATTAGGAAGGCATAACATCCAGCAAAGGCTGCCTGGCCGGTAGTAGGCGCTCTGTAGCTGTTGCCCTCTCCCAGATCTGCCCACCCCCCGGGGCTACGCCAGCTGGAGATGTGCCCCCTGCACCCCCTCCCTTCCCGCCCCACCCAGCCGCTGTGTCTCCAGGTCCAGTGACAGTTTCAGCCAAACACCCCTGGCGGGGGGGGGGGGGGGGAGGTGTCTGGGAGCCCGTGGCCTTTTCATCCTCAGCGGGATCAGCGTCCTGAATTCCTCGTTGTTCGAGGAGAGCCGAGGATTTGGAGCTTCCAAACACAGCGGCCCAATCGGAGGGCCCCAGCCCGTGCCAACCAGCTGCGTCTCGGTTACAGCTAAGAACACAGCACACCAGCTGCCTGAGCCCTGCTCTCCGGGCGAATTCCTCCTGGATCAGGAGATGCCAGACAGCGGGGACTGCGTCTGTGTCGCCCCTGGCCGTGGGCTCAGCTCGGCACTTCCCCTGGTCTGAAAGTGAGGGGCACCCTGGCGCGGGGACGGGTCTGGGGCTCGGGGCTGGGGGGCGGGGGGGGGATATATCTGTTGGTGCAGCTGACGAGACACTGAGGTGGCCATGGGGAAATCGCTGCCCTCCAGGGCTCCCAAAGCCAGCGGACAAGCGCACCTGGCCGGGCCCCACGCCTGGCTCAGAGCCACGCACCCTGGGTTCACTGCTGCGGCCGCCACCAAGAAGAGAGAGGTGGGGAAGGAGGATGCAGGAGCCCGCCCCCCCCCCCCCCCGAAGCCCTCATGACCAGACTGGACAGGCCTGGGACCGGGGTGCTGCAGTCAGCACCGCCTGCAGCCCCTGTTTGCTTTTGCCTCCGTCCAGGCCCCAACCATAATTTATAGCATCTCGATTCCTCCGCAGCCCATGGTCCCAAGCCAGACGGAGATGGGAAGGAGACATCAGGGAGACAAAACTGAGGATGGTTTCAATTACTCTATATTTCAGTCGCCACAGACCTACTCAGGTGCGAAGAGAACCATATATCTTGTGAATAAAAGAAACAGAAGAGGCACACTGATATTTGCCCTCATTTTAATGGTCATGGGAGAAAGCCTGGTGGGGACCCCACACATGGGAATGGTAGTGAGCCTTCCCTCACCAAGCCAGTGCGAATGAATGTTTGTAGGTTCTCCAACCCAGGACAAAATGCTGGGTGGATGCCAGAGAGAGGATTCTAGAAGGGAACGCCATCCAAGTGCCATGGTGGGAGGACTGTGGGAAGTCACTGGGGGTTCCGGGTCGGATTCTGGAAGGGGCTGAGCAAGAGAGGCGGCCTACCGGTTACAGGGGGAGTGAAGTGCTGCCTGTGCAGCAGATGAACAAGGCAGGGGAAGGATCCCTCACCCCGGGGCTCAGGTGGCCCCACAAACTTTTCAGAATATCTTTGCTTAGGCCTGGGTCCCCTCCTTGGCTTGAGCTGTACACAAGTGGGAAGTGGGGCCCCAGGGAGTCTGTTGCCACTGACTCCCTGGGGCCCCACATGCCAGGAAACAGAAGGATAATGTCACCATAGACAAGAGTCCCCAGAGCCCCCACCCCCAGGCAGGATTCAGAGTGCCCACCCACCACGCCTCACTCCTCTGCAGGGGCTCCCCAAATTGCCAGCTATCACAACAAGAATGACTCCCAGGGACCCACCCAGCTTCCAACTGCACTCCTGTTTTGCTGTGTGAGCCTAGGTGAGTTGCTCACTCTCTCTGTGCTTTTCATTCACTGGGTGAAAAATGTGAAGGAGGAAGAGGATTAAGAAAGATTTGCCTATAGGGCGCCTGGGTGGCTCAGTTGGTTAAGCGACTGCCTTCAGCTCAGGTCATGATCCTGGAGTCCCTGGATCGAGTTCCGCATCGGGCTCCCTGCTCGGCGGGGAGTCTGCTTCTCCCTCTGACCCTCCCCCCTCTCATGTGCTCTCTCTCTCCTCTCATCCTCTCTCTCAAATAAATAAATAAATAAATAAATAAATAAATAAATAAATAAATAAAATCTTTAAATAAAAAAAAAGAAAGATTTGCCTATAGAGGTGAGTGCCCTTTAGAAAAAAGCTTGGTGAGCCATATTCAGGATGATGAGAAAAGTCTATCCCTATAATGAAGAAATGGTGGTATTTATGTCATTAGAAAGGATTTTAAGGAGGGATAAAGCTACGGATTGAGAGTGTGAGATCTATCTTTCCTTCCCTAATATCACAGCTATTTATTGAGCTTCTACCTTAAGTCAGACCCCACTCCAGGGACACAGTGGAGAATCAGAGACACCCTTCCCTCAAGGATCCAGACGAGTAAACATGAACCTACCAGAGTGATGGAGGCTCTGCCAGGGGCCACCCAGGGGGCTGGAGGCACAGAGAAGGGGGCCAGTCTGGGCAGTCAAGGAGCCTTTTAGTAGACGCGACCTGTATGTTATAGCTTGAATGATGAGCAAGAGGCAGCCAAGCTAAGGGAGGGTGGTCAGAGAGATCACAGTGTGGGCTTGACATGAGCAAAGACATGGGGCATCTTCCTCCTTGTCTCCCTCACTTCTTAAACACCATGCAATACCTCTGCAAAAATGAATGAATGAAAAAGTAAATGAACAAAAAGCAGAGGAGTTACAGATATACGTATTACAGGAAAAGCATCCAAATACCTAAAAAAAAAAAAAAAAAATCCATGTGGACAGTGAGCACTTTCCATAAGGGGGAGCCCACCATCTGGTTATCTCAGCACCAAATGGAATGACCCCAGACTTCAACTTCTGATTTCTTCCACAATCCCTGGGAAGGAAGACAATGGTTCTGTCTCCTCTGCCACCCACGTGACCTCTGCTCCCACATCCAGTTCCCTTCCATTCAAAGGTTGGGCATGTTCCCATTTGTTGCTTCATTCAGTAACATCTCCTGATCGTCAGCCACGTGCCAGGCACATGGCGTGGTCACGGGCACAGAGCTGGTGCTGCCCCTTGGGATGTCCTCCCACCCGGGCCGGGCCCCATGATCACAGCAGGGACCTGGCACCACCTGGGTGGATGGCGGGCCACCGGAGCCTTCCCAGTAAGTCACCAGTCACCGGCAGGATCGGGCCTGCGAAGGAACATTCCTCCTCTGCTCTCCCGCCCAAACTCGTGGCCAAAGGCAAGGCACACGCATGGCTGAAATCCCATCGGTGGCACCCAGCCAACTGGCTGCCACTTGCTTATTTGGCTTGGAACAGGAAATACATTTTTCTACTATTTATACTGCTGACCTCAGGAATAAACTAATTACTCTGCTGCAAAGCTGCATTCCCACACTGTCCGGCTCACATCTGTAACCCCCGGTGGGGACCACGGCAGAGGAGGTGCCAGGGGGCTGGTAGGTCTGGGGTCTCGGGCCCAGCAGCCACTCCTGCCCTGCTCCCTGGGTCTTTGGGGGAACAGCAAATAAGCCCACAAGTCACCCCTGCTAGATCTTCAGCTCCAACCGAGAAGAGGTCTGCCTACTTCTTCCCTTGGCCTTGAGCTTCTCCCATCTCCATGCCTCAGTATCTCGCTCTGCACAATGGAGTTGTGGTAATGCTGAGCTCAAGGGACACCATGCCTGAGAAAAGCTCTGTGTAAATGGGATTACCCCAGAAGACCCACCAGGCTGAACGGCCGAGCCCCAGAAGGCAGCCTGGCTCAGGCAGGCCCCACACCTGGGCCAGCAGTGCGGCAGCGTCCAGATGTGCTGCAGACTCCGCCGCAGGCTCATACTGCTGCCCACAGCAACCGCACCAACTTCACAGACCGGCTACTTGGACACAGGCAGGCAGGACACCCTCAAAGAGGAGCCAGGAAATAGAAGCTGAATGAATGAATGAATGAATGAATGAATGAATGAATGAATGAATGAATGAAAACAATGATGGCCTAAGTCATGATACTGTTTTAACTGACTTTTTTTCTTTTTCTTTTTATTTACTGCATTGAGCAACTATCTGGCTCAGGAGTCTGCAAACTTAACCATAAAGGGCTGGATAATAAATATTTTAGGCTTTGGGGGTCATTGAGTCTCTGTCACAACTACTTAACTGCCATCATAGTGTAGAACCAGCCACAGACAATACATAAATAAATGGACAGAACCGTATTCTAATAAAACTTTTCATTTACAGGGGCGCCTGGGTGGCTCAGTCGGTTAAGCGTCTGCCTTTGGCTCAGGTCATGATCCCAGGGTCCTGGGATCGAGCCCCGCATCGGGCTCCCTGATCCATGGGAAGCCTGCTTCTCCCTCTCCCACTCCCCCTACTTGTGTTCCCTCTCTCGCTGTGTCTCTCTCTGTCAAATAAATAAATAAAATCTTTAAAAAAAAAAACAAAAAAACTTTTCATTTACAAAACAGATAACAAACCAGATTTGACTAACCCCTCTGGTTGAACAAGCCCAATAATTACTGTGTAACCTAAGCACTGTCCTCGATCCTTCCACATGACCCTTTCATCTGATGGGTCACCAGGTGCTGTCAATTTTTGCTGCTAAATATTCAGCATCCCCTCCTTCCCATACCACAGCTGTTGCCCTGGTCCAGCCACATCATGCACCACCTAGACCCCCCTACAACTGCCCAACTTCAGCCTTTTGCCCTTCTAGTGCAGCTTCTACCCAGAAGAAAGAGAGATCTATCTAAGTCACCGCTCTGTCTCATTCCCCTCTCCTGGCTCCCACTGTCCTGACCCCATAGTCACCCATGTCTGGGTCTCACCATCCAGCCTCATCACTCACTGCCCCCTTCAACTCCCATACTCAACTCTAGCCAGACTAGCTATCTTTTAGTTCCCCAAACACACCATGCTCAATCTTTCTCTGTGCCAGGAAAACTTTTCTCCCTCCTCTTCCCCTGGCCAACTCCTATTCATCCTCCAGATCTCAGGTCAGATGTCACCTACCCTGAGGATCCTTCCTGAGGTGCTCCAGCTTACCCCTAACATAAAAGTGATCACACTTATGGCACAAACTGCCATGTGTTCAACAAACCACACTTCCCTTTCTTCCTGGGCACATACCTAGACTACATTTCCCCGCCTCCTTTGGAGTTAGTCAGGGCCATGTGACCAAGTTCTGACCAATGAGAAGAAGGCAGAAGACCGGGCCTTGACCTCCCACATGATCCTGCATGCTGGCTCTATTTCTCCATCTTCCAGATGAATGGAAAGGATGCTGAGGAGCTGCAGGAGGGCAGAGCCACAAGATAGAAGGAGCCTGGGTCCCTGAGTCACTGCTTGAATGAGAGCAGCTGAAGAGAGTCACCTGGCCAGGAATCCCATGTTGTATTAAGCCACTGACATTTTATGGTTGTTTGTTCCAACAGTCAGCCTACCCTAACTAAACCAATATTCAAGTGGAATTAACTATTATTTGTCCGCCTTCCCTACTAGACTGTAGGGATGCATGAGGGCAGGGACTTGTCTATTTTACACAACATCATAGTCCCAGAACTTAACACTATGCCCTGCATATAGTAGGAACTCAGTAACTATTTGTTGGTTGGGTGAATAAATGAAGGAATACAACCTTAGTGGATGGGGTAGCCTCCTGCCATCACCATGGGTATGTTGCAGCAGCCCACAGTCCAGGCAAGCCAGGTGCAGGGTGGGAGGCTTAGTTTAAAGCCTTGGCCTAAAGCTTTGGAGAGCAGCCTGTGCTGATTCCACTCCAGGGGACTGAACTCAAGCAAAGCCAGGGCCAATGTCATCAATCAACATGAGAGCTCAGGGCAGAGCACCCATCAGGGGCTGACAGTGGCAGTAACAAGAAGAGTCAGGAGGTTGGGATACGGTGAGCACTGACTAGGAATCAGGAATCCCAGATTCTGGGACCAGTTATTCCCCCCTGACTTGCTGCATGACGTTGGTAAATAACTTCCTTTCTTGGAGCCTCAGTCAACAGGCTTGACTATAAGACTTTCAAATGGTTCCAAGTGGCAGAACTCCCATATCACCACCCCCCCCAAAAAAATGTCACTGGAGTCTCAAAATATAAAACAGATAGAAATGGAATGGTTCTAATGAAAGCTGGGGAAAGGTGTCAGAGCTGACCCCAACCAATATCCTGAGGCACATTCTCAGAACCTTGAGCTCTCTCCTCTCTCAGCCAGACTAAGACTTACCAGATTCTCAGCCTAGACAGAAACTTCCAGATAATCTAGCAAAACTCCTAGCCTCTGCTTGAACACCGCCAGTGATGGAGAGCTCACTACCTCCTGGGCAGACCCTAAGACCACCCTAATGGTTAGATTATCCACCAGCTGTAGTCTGTATCCCCAGACCATGCATCCTGGGTCAATGTGCTTCATCCACCACAGTCTCTGAGCAATCTAGCTAGAGACTGGGCCTTGAAAAGTTGGCCTCGGAAATAATAGTAATAATTAACAGGTTTGGGCCAGGCATATATATATATATGTAACATATATAACACATTTAATCCATCCGGTAACTCCATGAAGTAGGCACTGTTACTATTTTACAAATGAAAAACATTGAGGCATAAAGAGTTTGTCACTTATCCAATGTCATACACCTAGTAAATGACAAAGCTGGGACTCAAATCCAGGCCATCTGACCATCTGTTCTCAACTGCCTCTCTGATGTATAGAAATCTGGCTGCAATAAAAAGGAGAGGACTATACTTGTACAGTATTTATTATTTGCCAGGTGCTTTTATAATAAGCATTTTACAATACTCATTGATTTAGCACTTAAGCACTTCTATGAAGGAGACACTATTATTAACCCCTCTTACAGAGGAAGCAACTGAGGCACAGAGAGATTAAGTAACTTATTTGAGGTCATACAGCTGATGAGTGGTGGGGTCAGGATTTGAACCCAGGCAATTTGGGTCTGGAGTCTGTCTGTTTCATGTGCCAGATCACCCTACAATTACAATGTATATTGAGCACCTCTCACATGCTAGCCCACGTGCTGGGTGCTCCAGAGGCATTAGCTCATTTAACCTTCTCAAAACCCTACAGGGGCAGAAAAAGCATTTGGCAAAATCCAACATCAATTCATGATTTAAAAGAACAAAAAACTCTCAGCAAACTAGGAATTGAAGGAAACTCCCTCAGCTTGATGAAGAACTACCATATACCTACAACTAACATCATACTTAATGGTGAGAAACTAGATGCTTTCCCCCTAAGAAGGTAACAAGGATGTTCCCTCTCACAACTCCTTTTCAACATCATACTGGAAGCTCTAGCTAATGCAATAAGATAAGAAAAGGAAAGAAAAGGTATGTAGATTGGGAAAGAAGAAATAAAACTATCTTTATTTGCAGATGACATGATTGTCTATGTTGAAAATCTCAAAGAATCAACAACAACAAAAAAAACTCCTGGCACTATTATGTCAATGGGTTATAGCAAGGTTTTAGGAGTCAAAGTCAATATACAAAAGTCAGTTGCTCTCCTATACATCAGCAATAAACACCCCCCTTAGAAAGTATTTGAAATTAGAAACGCAATACCATTTACATTAGCACCAAAAAATGTAATGCTTAGGTATAAATCTAAACAAAAAATATACAAGATCTGTATGAGGAGGAAAA